TATAGTTCTATTCAAGATGACAATGCAGGAAGCTATAGATTTAACCTTGCAGTTGAGTAATTAACTCGGAGATATTTTAATCACAATTAGTAGAAGTACAGGGTGCCAAATGATTTCACTCCTTCCAGATTCTACAAGTAAACAGCTGAAAAGGAATGCTACAGGTCACACATCTTTCGCACTGAATTCCCTTAAAAACAATAAAAAATTTGATCTTACTTAATATTTTTTCAATTTTATATTTCAAATTTGTAGTCTGTATAAATACATCCTAAGTATGGAATCACTTGATCCCTCAACTCTCCCCCAACCCCACCCCTTATCTACAACAAATCGTTTCTCTCAGTGTTTCAGTTGAATATCCCTTTGTAGACCAAATGACCTAACATTTCAAAAGAGTTGCAGAATCCACTTGTTTTGTATCATTGCTAAAAGCAGAAAATAACAGATCTTAATTCTATTAACAGATACGAGACATGAAAAAAAACATATTTTAAACACAAGAAGTAGTAGAAACATTTAAACTACAAAATATTTGTAATTTACCATCGTCTTAATTCAATACTTTTTACACTGTTAATCATATTCACAGAAATTCACAATATGAGGTTGTTCTGGTAAACAGCTTTTTATATACCAACAATCATTAATGTAAACAAGTGATAGATCTGCCCATCCTATAATGTCTCCGATGTAAGCTCTGCTGACTCTCCTTATTTTCTCACATCGCAAATGACAATTACTGGTTACTCAAATGTCATTGTTACTTCAGTGATATAATCATTCCAGTTGTTAAGGTTTCTAGATAAGGTACAGAAATTATCACCAGTTACCATGGAAACTGTTTCCGTATGTAGTGACACTATTATTGTGCACTCTGTATAATAGCGTCAGGTTGATTGTTGTTGTTGTAGCATGATTATATGTTAATGACACTAAAAATAGTTTTAATCAATCCTTTGAGATATTTGCCAGATCACTGCTTTGTTTTCATAAAATGATTTCAAACACTGCAAGAATATTGATGAAAATACATGTATGACATTGAAAGGCAACAATATGAACCACCTCCCCCTCCCAACTCCCTTTTCCCTTAAGAAAAGTGAATGTTTGGAAAGCATGTCTATATAAAAAATCATTCTCATATCATCTCACACATGAATCCAGGAGACTAAGAACTAGAAACATAGAGTTTCAAGGACAATCATCGGCCCTGTGTATAATTTATATTGAAATAAGGAAAATCAGTATGAAAAAGCATATGGTCTGTAGAGAGTCATCTTGCTGAAATACAGATACGAAGGTTCTAGATGTACAGTCTGTTGACAAAAGTACTGAAATGATGACCGTTTTGCGATGATAGTGTGTCGGTTTCTATGTAAGTTGGAACTTGAGTAGGACACTGCTTACATCCTTCGAAATGTCACAGTCTCGTGCTTTTGATTGGCATTCTATTTTTATCATCTGCTCACAAGGGGTTTGTTTACAAACAGAAGTAGTGAAATGGAGGCAAAGTGGAGATAGGCAAGTAAGGAACAAAAACAAAGTGTAGTATGTAGGATACAGAAAAGGCTTATCTCTCCAAATCGTTGGTGACTTACTGAATAGGACTTGGACTATAGTACATAGAATTTACAGGAATTTTTGTGAATGCGGGACTGTGGAAAATGCAGTCAAACCAGGCTGACCCAAAAGTTTAAACGCACATGATAAAAGGAAAATTTTAAGAGAATTAAAGCTGACAGATGGATGCCTTTGGCCAACATTTGTAATAATTTTAAAGGCCACTGAAGGTCTTTCATAAATCAGTTGAGTATTTTCTTGTGTCCGTGGCGATGGATTGAGATTTCAACATCCCATAATCGCTTGTTTATCCAATTAGTTCAGTATTATTATTCTGTTAAAGCACTGAACATTATAAGATCTAAAAACACAAAGTTTATGTTCTAACCTGACTGAATCCTACCAATACTAGAGGTTGGAGAAGTTGAAGGTAACCATGGTCACCTTTCTAGACTTAGCTAGCAAGGATTTCTCTTTAGTGTAATGGTAGAGTGTCTGGATGGAGATCAAAGCGTCACTATAGCTTCATCAGAATCACCAGTATCCATGGAGGTAAAAACCAGGAAGAATTCAAGCTATAAGCCTACTTCAAACCCAAGCAACTAGGAGCTTTGTCTTTCATTACTTCTTCCAATTACATTTGTATATATTAATTATCGCATCAAATTCCACGAAGATCTAAACATGCTCATTTCTCTACCAAAATATAAACCAATCGCATCTCCAATTTACAGATACAATCAACAACTACACAACAGGCTTCATTTCAATTGAACATTAGTTGACAAATCCTTGCTTGTGATTGTACACGTGTGAAATTATCACAGGAATTTATAAAGTACACTGATAAATCATGTCAGAAACTAGTCACCCTTTCAACTATATATATACTCTAGGCAACACCGATAAACTAGTTGAAACTATTGAAACATGTTTTTAGTTATGTCCTGGAATTAAGACCTTATCGTATAAAGTGTATTAGAAGTTTTAAAAGTACTGACGAAGGGAGATAAGATGGTAATTGTTTCTATCAAACAGAGAAGAGGTGTAGTAATATCTGCACAAATAGTTCTAAGCTGACATTTAAAACATGACATCTTACCATATATTTGCATTCTCTTTCATGTCTATATATCTTATATTCATGTATCTATAGAATAACAGCATCAACTACTTCATGATCTAATTTCAAAAAACATTTTACATCCTCTCCATGGAGGTATATGTGTGTTATTGGGTTTTTTTTGTAGTATAAACTTTGGTCCAGACCATAAATAGCCTTGCTAGCAGCAGATCTTGGTGATGGCTATATATGCCAAGTGTCCTACAGACACAAAGTGTCTAATTATCAGCTTGTACACATCTTTTGTACAATAGAATTAATTTGTGTTTGACACCATATATAGATGTACATACAGGAAGCGACATATTATCAGTATGTTATTACTTCAGCTGTAACGCTACTGTGAAGGAGACAGAAAAATGTTTTTATCACGTGTTTCACCTATGAATGGCCAGAGTGTGTTTGCTATTAAAAAATCTTGCCCCAATTCATTGAGGTCTTTAATATACTCCTCATGTACTGAAACTAATATTGTTTTAGCAGTAATCTTATTTAAGAGCTTTTCATTTACAGTTACTACATAGTGACCATCACACAGGTAAAACACCTAGGTAAGTCAGCCTTGGCTTTGGTTACAGGTGATTTCAATATACATCTGAGAACCCACACATCTGATAATTATACAAACAGGCAAAGATAGGCAATGAATTTCCATTTTGACAAATTAATGGGAACAAATGTTGAAATTTGAAAATGTCACTGACCCTCAATCTCACTACACTAGCAGACCAAAACTTTGTTAATAAGCTGGGGTTATATAAACACACAAAAAAAAATGGACTTAATTAGCCATGACAAAGGTTAACATTAGTCACCAGGAGAAAACTGATTGAAAAGACAATAATGGATGAGAAACATTCATCAGAGATTTAAAATACATTATACAGACAGTACGGCTGTAAAAATGACTTGATGACTCTTACAAGACACACCTGTGACCAGGGTAGGACTTATGTTATTACCAAATTTATTACAAAAATATAAATTTTGTTTCTTCTTAAATTTGCTATGAAATAAATAGAGGATAATACTTGTCAAAGTTAGTGGTTTACCCTTAGTATATTTCCAAACTTCCATATTTAATATCTAATTCTCAATGCAGCCTCTAACTCCAAATCAGACAGTAGGCTTATAACACTGGTTTAATAGATATGTAATACATAGTAGTAATGAAACACACCCTGCCATCAGTGGGGTTAGAACTAACGACCCTTCGATCTCTTAGGCGGACACTCTACCTCTCGTCTGAAGGGAAATTCCTAAGGCAACCTGTACTGTGAACTTCTTGGTGAACTTAAACTAGATATAGGTATATATAGCCTGTAAAATCTACATGTCTTCTCAAACATTTACATGTCTTCTCAAACATTTACATGTCTTCTCAAACATTTAAAGTCTTTTGGTTTTATGATGATATCATAGTATATCAACAATCTAAACAAAATGTCAACATAATTGAAAAGCAAAAATTGGGAAAATTACACAAAAAGCTATGACAATGTGCTAAAAAAAAGGTGATATACACAGAAATCTGTGACATTGTGCTGAAATTATCAAATGTAAACAGAGAGCTGTAACATTGCAAGAAAGTGTTTTAAAAATGTACACATAAACCTGTGACATTGTACACAAAATATTGGGTGATGTACACAGAAAGCTGTGACATAAAGTGGTCACTAAAAACTCACATTTGTAACAAAACAGGCAAAAACACCCCAAGATTTATTAGACAGGAAGCTGACGTAACATTACATAACGATTAAGATATACACAAAAGTGACACTAATTAAGTTTTGATAGAAAATACAATTAATTGCATAATATGTCTTAACCATGTGACATAGTCGCCCAGTTAATAAGATACACTCTACAGATGTGTGTATAGTGCAATGATTTTCTGAAATGCCAAGTAGGCCAAAACATCAAAGGGAAAACAAAAAGCAGCCACGTCTGGTCTCAGTGTTATCTTTATATTCTCAGTTCATTAGAATAAATGAATACTTTTATTGCTGATTGATGTCTACTTAATACTACAGTTGTCAGGTGACAAATTACCAACATGATCTCAAATATTCTAACTAAACACAATTACATGAAATTGAAATGCAAAACCTCTCCCTATTATATCTGTATGAGAGATGTCTACAGTAACACCTGCTTCTTAATGTAGACAAGATTGACAAGAATATGGTTATAAACACTATAGATAAAAAGATTTTCAAAAATAACTCACAACACTGTAAATTTGTTTAAATATAGCATATATATGCCATTCAAATATTTCCTTCCTACAAAGAAAGTTTGAAAATCTTACCTCCTTTGAGTGGAGAGTTGCAAGACTTCCATTTGGCATGTTCCCATGGGGAGCACCGGAGGGAGAGTTTGGGCCAGAATCAGAATTACTGCTGCAGTCAACTGGAAGAAATACACAAGTAAATACTTATTACAGTTAAAAATTAATTACAGGTAAACCTTAATTACAGGTAAACCTTAATTACTTGTGAATCTTAATTACAAATGAGAAGCAACTGAGTTCCAACCTTCCTGATAGCTTGCAGAAAGTTCAAAAGCAGCTGAATTTTAGTTCTTGAAGTTATTCATTAATAAATGAATGAAATTCCTTTGATTTTGTAAACAATTGCAGCTTCTGTTGAAATGAAGCTGCAGAGTTAATTAAGTAAATATGAACCTATAATCTGACTTCTTGCCTTTGATTTTGTGTCAGTTTAAGTAATTTTTGCTTTGGTAATGTCTGACTCCATCTCCACAATAAAATAAATTATTTTACAAGCTTTAGAAGAGACTGCAATGTTCTTTAGATTAGAGGTATACCACAATTTTTCCTAATCTTTTCCAAATATGACTTTAGTTTATATGTTTGTCATGTAAAAACTGTTCTCTATACAGCACTAATTAATCAATGTTATGTTTACCAAATCTTCCTGTAACAGATGGGATGAAGATAGTCAAATTCATGCAGAAATGATGGATAAATTCTACCATGGGGTATAGATTTTGGGTTCTGACCCGAATTCCATACCTTCAGGCAGAATATCCACATCACATATACCTACATTTGGTTGACTTTATAAACACCAGGAAGTGATATTTGATGTACCACATAACAACCATTTTATATTTTCATTTTTTCAGCTTTAGGTAGTTTGCTGGATTTGTCATCCTGTTGACAACAGAGATAACTTTTAGCCTGAATCTCCTTCTAGAAGCTGGTGGCTTTCTCATTGAACAACATATGAAGGCTCATCATATGCCATCCAAAGCAATTAGGGTACAGTGTCTTCTTCTAGGCCACAACCATGTTAGCACAGACTGATCAGTTTTTCAACTGAATTCAAATCACCGCAGGTGGGGAGTGTTGAACCACATACCTCAGTTCTTCACCTGAGGTTACGTCTACTAATGGTCTATTGACTGACACGACCAAGCTTTTAGATCCAAGTGTATCAATATAAGCCTTTTTACTGTGTTATATCTAGATGTTTATCTCTAATGAACATTATATTTCATTATCCTCATTACATAGGTATCTTTATATACATCTCTAGCTTAAAGACACAGTCTGAAATATTTCAAGTGTAATAAACCATGATATTTTTATTCCATGCATGTGAGAAGAAAATTGGAACCTAGCAGTTTCTAATTTCTCTACACATAGCTAAATGCTGTTAATACCAATTTCCTTTCTATGACAGTCTGTAAATGGAAAGACCATATAAAAATTGATTTTGTGACACACAGCTTGTTCCTACATTTTCCTCCTGCGATGTAAACATGTTTGTGCCCTTAGCATTCCGAGTACAATTCTAAGTGATCTAAATATAGACATTTAATGTTAACATTATTTGGACATTTCCTTTTTGATCTCGTGCCTTTGTCACATCACTCTGTGTTTCCATGGAAACATCAAACCAAATGTAGGCAGCATTTGGGATTGAAAAGCTTCTATAAAAATTGGGTCTATATATAGCACAAGTAGTCACGACATGAAACAACAATATTGATTGGCTTACGACACTAGGCCTGGCTAGGCGGCCACAAGACCGACCATTGTACGAGAGTTGCAAAACTCATCCAATCATCTTGGTGACATTTTAAAAATCATTTCACCGAAACTATTCCAAAGTAACAACAGTCTGTAAACAACTCTGGTGTGAAACTGGTGCAGCATGTACGGTAATTTGTATACAAGTACTAGCTTACACTTCTGGTCAATATAGGTGTTCTTAAGGTTTTTTTTCTTTTATATCAAATGAATCACAGTAAATACAAAAAAAAATAAAAAATAGTGGTTACCATATGGAGCTTTGTTAGAGCCTTTAAAATAATCATGAAATTGTATTTCAAATGTCATCTTGAAAATGCAATAAAAAATTACTTCAGGATGATAAAACACATGTTGGAAATATCCTGAGAAACTGGAAAAAATCTAAAGCAATATTTGAAATTTATCTTTTTGCTTATGAATAGAAAAATCAAAGCACAATATGCTAGGTAATAAAAAAGTATATAAACATTATCTTCTTTTAAAATGTCAACATAATTAGAATACATTTGAAGCAATTATCATCCAACCATATAAATAGATTTTCATTTATTTGAAGCATTCGAAGAATTTATCATAATTGTTTAATCAAATATTTATTTGGGAAAAAAATTATTATCTAATATCATTCAAGTGGCTGTCAACTGAAACATTCAGGTTTTTTTCTGTCTTGTCATTGCTATATGCAAATAAATAGAAATGTAACAGTGACATTATATAGTATTGATTACTATTTTCTGTTTGACATGCGATATCGAAAGTCATGCGAGATCAATCAGTATTGCCTGAGACAATCAATCATTCACTGCTTGGGTGCCTGAAATCTTCATCTACATAGGTTTCCAAATATGTTTTTGTCAATAAATCTGTGAAACATATAAGTAATACGAGCAGAAATTGTTAAATATTACAATGTATTCATATCTACATGAACACATTAAACAACGACAAACAGGCAACAAGAGCTATATCACAGCGGTAATAGATTGGTTACGATAAAAACCTGTTAGGTTGGCATACTATTAATAAACTCATTGTGTTAATACAAATTATTAAATAATTCAGAGCTCTTTTGTAACCAGTAAAATACTTTTGATGGTTCTTGTTCAAAACAATTCCAGATTTTTTTTTCAGGAAAATGCCAATTTCTTTTTTCACATAGTTGGTTCTGGCTTTGAAAAGAGCTCCTGTGAAACCAAACAGACATAATGCAGTATGCAACCTCCTTAAAAAACTGTTTGCAAGACCATATAATTTCACATTCCATAACTTTGACTACGCCAATGTGTTTTGGAAGTTTTTTACTATTATTTTTTTATAAAGAACAATTTGCCCTGAATCCTGACAGAGAAAAATTTCCTGTTTATAAATCCTTGAGTTCAAAAGAAGTGGAAAATTTTATTTGTTCTTTATTTTTGTTTTTGCTCTTGTTTTTTTTCTTTTATAGAAAGAACTATTCTCTTGTTCCTTTTTCAAAAACATCCACATCAATTTTTCAAAATACTATGTAGGATTACTAAGACGGAAAACTGATATCAAACTAGTGAATGCTTAAAGAAGAATGATTATATATTTCCAGTATATGAAATTCTAAAACAAAAAAACGATTTAATATTTATGCATTATATATATATTATCTATTCAGTTTAATGAACAAGAACAATTGCATCTTTATTTTACAATCAATTTAAACAGCAACAAAAACAAAACTTCAAAACTTCAAAGTTTTGCTGACAATGAATATCTCACTTTTGAAATTGATTGATGAATTTCGATACAGAAATGCAAATTAAGTTAAAACTCGACTCCAATCTTGATTTATCTACTGAACATGATATGGATACATCATCATCAAAGTACTTGTAGTACTGATTTTGTAACATCTCATCTACTGCATGCAACACTGCAGGTCATACAAAATGCACGAAAATCCCACCCACTTTTCTGCATGTGTTAATTAAGGTAACCTCATAAAAATCCCTTTTACCTTGGCATGTAAATATATCTTATATGATATTTATCCTCTGGAGACCAACAGATGTGTAAATATATCTTATATGATATTTATCCTCTGGAGACCAACAGATGTGTAAATATATCTTATATGATATTTATCCTCTGGAGACCAACAGATGTGTAAATATATCTTATATGATATTTATCCTCTGGAGACCAACAGATGTGTAAATATATCTTATATGATATTTATCCTCTGGAGACCAACAGATGTGTAAATATATCTTATATGATATTTATCCTCTGGAGACCAACAGATGTGTAAATATATCTTATATGATATTTATCCTCTGGAGACCAACAGATGTGTAAATATATCTTATATGATATTTATCCTCTGGAGACCAACAGATGTGTAAATATATCTTATATGATATTTATCCTCTGGAGACCAACAGATGTGTAAATATATCTTATATGATATTTATCCTCTGGAGACCAACAGATGTGTAAATATATCTTATATGATATTTATCCTCTGGAGACCAACAGATGTGTAAATATATCTTATATGATATTTATCCTCTGGAGACCAACAGATGTGTAAATATATCTTATATGATATTTATTATCCAACAGATGTGTAAATATATCTTATATGATATTTATCTGGAGACCAACAGATGTGTAAATATATCTTATATGATATTTATCCTCTGGAGACCAACAGATGTGTAAATATATCTTATATGATATTTATCCTCTGGAGACCAACAGATGTGTAAATATATCTTATATGATATTTATCCTCTGGAGACCAACAGATGTGTAAATATATCTTATATGATATTTATCCTCTGGAGACCAACAGATGTGTAAATATATCTTATATAATATTTATCCTCTGGAGACCAACAGATGTGTAAATATATCTTATATGATATTTATCCTCTGGAGACCAACAGATGTGTAAATATATGGGAAAAATGAAGTCCTTATTTCTGATGTGTAAGAAGTGCTTCACTTGTTCTCTGTGAAAGTTTTGTTTTTGAAAAAAGATGTAACGATGGATTTGATTGGTGGAAAAGGCAGGAAGGAAGTGGGGATACGGGCATACATACTTGATAATGGAGTTTTACGTTTGAGATAAGCTTGTCCCAGCTTTTCCTTCCTTCGGAGAATTGGGCTGTGAGTAATTCTCCGTTGGCTTTCCAATTTCTGCTTCAGAGCAGAGCGCACTTTAAGATTGGGTTCTGAGGCTGAAAACAAGAATACATTACGTACAGTAAAACCTGTTTAATCCAGAACCTGTATATCCTGAAATCCTCTTTGACCTAAAAATCACTAACTTCAATGAAATGACGAAAAGGTGTTGCTGTGTAACTACAAACAGTCTATGGTTTTCCACGATCACCGTATAAGTGTATTATGTGTTATGGTTTTCCACGATCACCGTATAAGTGTATTATGTGTTATGGTTTTCCACGATCACCGTATAAGTGTATTATGTGTTATGGTTTTCCACGATCAGTATATAAGTGTATTATGTGTTATGGTTTTCCACGATCAGTATATAAGTGTATTATGTGTTATGGTTTTCCACGATCAGCGTATAAGTGTATTATGTGTTATGGTTTTCCACGATCAGCGTATAAGTGTATTATGTGTTATGGTTTTCCACGATCAGCGTATAAGTGTATTATGTGTTATGGTTTTATGTGTTATGGTTTTAAGTGTATATAAGTGTATTATGTGTTATGGTTTTCCAGTATATAAGTGTATTATGTGTTATGGTTTTCCACGATCAGTATATAAGTGTATTATGTGTTATGGTTTTCCACGATCAGTATATAAGTGTATTATGTGTTATGGTTTTCCACGATCAGTATATAAGTGTATTATGTGTTATGGTTTTCCACGATCAGTATAAGTGTAGTGTATTATGTGTTATGGTTTTCCACGATCAGCGTATAAGTGTATTATGTGTTATGGTTTTCCACGATCAGTATATAAGTGTATTATGTGTTATGGTTTTCCACGATCAGTATATAAGTGTATTATGTGTTATGGTTTTCCACGATCAGCGTATAAGTGTATTATGTGTTATGGTTTTCCACGATCAGCGTATAAGTGTATTGTGTGTTATGTTGTGGTAGCTTTCCGTGAAAATCTGGCATTTAAACAGTTGATTGCCCTTGGAATAAATTTTATTAATGTACTGATTGATAATGTTTTGTTTAAACTAAATTGGGCATGGCATTTTAGAATGTATAATGTTATCTTTTGACTAAGTTTAGAATTGATATTCACAATTTTGACTTAAAGCAATAAATTTAGACATCATGTACAATGTCAATTCAAGCATTCGAAACACATACCATATGACATTACTAGGAAAAGTTCAAAATTTTTGTTTAAGAAAGTGTATAACACCCTAAATGTTTTTCTCTTATACAATAGCTGACACATTTATTTTATCAACCAATAAAATACCTACTTCATTTCTAATGAGTTTTTCTTTTTATTTGTGTCAAAAGAAAGGTTAACAAATTCACAGCGAACTTATCCCAGACTTTTGGATTAATCAAAAATATGTCAGGCTACTACACTAATACAAGAATGTTTAAATTAATTCAAATTAATTATAATATCTGAAGAATGAATCGTAAAGTAATATGTTTCTTTAAGGTTATCTTTCTGACTTGATTTTCGCTCTTATAAGACTAAACAGGTTTTACATGAATATCAAGATTAACATGAACAATGTAAAATAAAATTTTTAAAAAAATATTTTAATTTTCAAGTTTGAATAATAATTGCCATTCAAAAGTCTTGTTAAAACAGTCTTCTTTCAATTTCTTCACTCTATGCCAATAATAGCTAGCTATATGATGTGGTATGGCTAAAGAAAGTATAAAATATTGATAAACATGAGAGACATTAAATATTGGGAAAAAAATCATAGACAATATTTTCTGAAAAGATTGGATATTTGAAGTCATCAAGATCAGGAAATGACGACTGTAGGTAAAAATAAAAGGAAGATGTGATGCCTTCCATTGATACAAAATAAATGTTGATTTCATGGTATGAAAGCTAGGTGAAGCTGGGCTTGACCAAGGGTCATTTACTATTAAAAACTTATCAAATTTTGTTTCAAATTATCATGACAAAGCCATGAAGGAAGGAAATTACCATGTGCATATCTAAACTATCAGTTGTAGTCATTTACAAACTGACCAGATTTCTCTTACCTCTTATATATCAACTGACCAGATTTCTCTTACCTCTTATATATCAACTTAATACAAACTGACCAGATTTCTCTTACCTCTTATACATCAACTTAATACAAACTGACCAGATTTCTCTTACCTCTTATACATCAACTTAATACAAACTGACCAGATTTCTCTTACCTCTTATACATCAACTTAATACAAACTGACCAGATTTCTCTTACCTCTTATACATCAACTTAATACAAACTGACCAGATTTCTCTTACCTCTTATACATCAACTTAATACAAACTGACCAGATTTCTCTTACCTCTTATACATCAACTTAATACAAACTGACCAGATTTCTCTTACCTCTTATACATCAACTTAATACAAACTGACCAGATTTCTCTTACCTCTTATACATCAACTTAATACAAACTGACCAGATTTCTCTTACCTCTTATACATCAACTTAATACAAACTGACCAGATTTCTCTTACCTCTTATACATCAACTTAATACAAACTGACCAGATTTCTCTTACCTCTTATACATCAACTTAATACAAACTGACCAGATTTCTCTTACCTCTTATACATCAACTTAATACAAACAGATTAGATGACTCCTTGTCTGAAGAGAAAGCTAAAATACCCCAGGAAAATTGAATGTTTGACGTTTGGAACTATAGCTCATTTAGAACTAATCTGGACACCCGAAGTGAACTGGAACAAAAATATCTCAGCTTTACTTAGGAATTTAGAGTCCATTATTTTTCATCAGTTATAGATCTGCTCTTCATAAGATGATCTTTGTTTTTTACAACAAAAAAAATATCAACTTTATTGCATATGTACATCAAACTTAAAATTCTCAGGGATTTTAATATACAATTAAATATTTTAATAATTATTAATATCATTTTTTAAAATTTGGTAAATGTGTAAATATGTACTTTTAAACATTTAACTAAGAAAATGGCTACGGAAGTTTCTGTGTCGACAATAACAAACTCTTTCAACTGTCAAAACATTAGACTGATGTCAAATTGAAAAATAAGTGTAACGGAAATATGATATACCATACACCACTCATCAATCATAACATCATTGATTTCTCCTGAATTATTCATCAATTTTAAATGATTGATATATCTTAATAAAAATATGAAGAAAAAGTAAAGAAGAAAAAAATTAATATCTTACTTTCTAACAATCTTGATGCATCTAATGGCAGTATTTTGTGTTGAATATTTTTGTTTATATCCTATGCTAATGCAAAACGAAAATTAAACATAAACTGAACGTACAGGTAAATAAAAGAAATGAAACTATGAGGCCAAGAAAATAATTCTAAAGAACAAGTCGCTGCATATATCTTGTGTGCAATGAGGAAAAAAAAGGACGGTTTGAAATAACTCAGATGCAAATGACATGTTGATTTGAAAAACTATACACAATCACAGGTACATCACAATAGGAAACAAATAACGCAAGGACATACAGCTGACAAAATCTTACTCTCTCGTGCTAAAAATGCCAGCCTAATATCATGCGGAGACTGTCTAAATCCATACAGCGTTAGCTATTATCCCAGTGGTTCAGCATCATTCCAGGCGTGAGGAACATTGTATGTTTGAAGACGGAATGCTACACAACCTTGTTTTCTCAACTATTTTTAGACAAATATCCTATATTAAGAAAAATCCATTACCGTCTTTCAACATTGGGCGTTGTTTCAATAGCCTTGATAAGAATTTCACTCATTGTGTCTGAAAGGTATTCTTGTATACAAAAAAAAAAGGACTAAAAATATGAAAAAAATTTACCAATATAGTTTGCTTCCATAACACTGGATCTACTAAATTGCATCAATCGTATCAATATCTGTTTTCAGGAAATGAAAAAAATTAACCGAAAAAACAACATATATTAAAATGCCCTAAGAATTTGATATTCAATTAAATTTTTTCATCAAAAGTTCAAGGAAATGATAATTATATAAAGAAAAAAAACCATATTTATTAATCAACTTCCATGATTAAATTCAAGCCAAAAGTATATATAGTAAAACTCATTTGTGTCAAACACGCTTGAATCCAATACATCAGATAATATTTTTTTCTGTCCCGATTTTTTCTCTTCTTTATCTTAGTAAAATAAACACAGATGATTTTAACACTGTTAAGTCGAATACTGCGTTTGTGTCAAACATATTTTGTTGTTCTAAATTCTACCAAAATTTCCCTTTTTCGTGTTGAACATTCAGGTGTCACCTTGTCTCAGGTGAAAATTTCCTGGCTTTGGTCCGAAGACAGAGTGCGATCGGTCAGTCCTATCTGTGTTAACGAGCCCTTGAACATTAATCCCTGTGTTTATACGGGTGCACAGATGAAAGCTACATAAACAAAGTGCAAATTTGATTTTATTCTTTTTACGGTATACGATCTTACGGTGCCGTATGCTTCAGTGATGTTGCTGCAGCCTTCACCTTTTCATAACCTAGCTCAGTGTTATTGATGTTATATCAATGTAGAATGTTCATGAGTATGCATTTATCAAGTTTTATATTTAAAAAAATTGTTGACATGACTTAAGGATATAACTGCGTGTACAACATAGGTACATGTATTACTTTAGGTATCGATATCACTAAGTTTTGCATGTTTCATATTCATATTTCTTGTTTTATATTAATACTTATAATTGTTTATTTAAATAAGAAATATTGTTAGTGTATAAAATTACTAAATCTTTTTTTATTTATTACTTATTCATTACTGTCACGTCATGCTATGAGACACATATCTGGTAAACAACGGATTAAATAGGGTCAATCTTCAATGCAAAACGTCTCTGTTCGTAGAAACATGGCTGAATAGAACCTTGGATATGTCAGATATTTCATTTGTCGCGTTAACTTGGACTCTTCCGTGTTTTACTGGATATATCTATCTCAATTCCATGAGGATGGAAACATGTATACATTACCAAGATCCAATATCATTATTTCAACCTTCATTGGATACTCTGTAATGTTCCACATAAATCTGACAAGAAAGTTTATTTTTGTACAGCATTGTTATATAAAGATGTCTCATAACAGGAGTTATCTTCCATCTATATTTAATTTCTGAAATTATTTTCCATTATGATTAATAATGAATGGATGGAGAGATTTTTAGATAAAATTCCACTCTACAAAATTAGAAAGGGAAAATTGTTAATGATCCAAACCCTGTACATAAAAACATCCATGAGGTGTGTTTCTTATCTACCATCATCAAAATGTCAAAACTTCCCTGAGTATTATTTTTGGAGCAAATTTTGTCAGTGATGTTCCACAATGAAACACATCAAAGAAAATTGCTCTCCCAAAATAGCTTCTGTAATGCCCCAAAAGAAAACATTTTTAATGTTATTAATTTATTTTTATCATTAACAAGGAATAAAGCACAACAAACCAACATACCAAGAATTGTAATTGAGAGAACTTTTTGTTATTTAGTAAATGTACAAAATCTGTTTTTTTAACTTATGTAACTTATCTTTACAGTAAAGCCATAGTATTGTTAATTCAGACTAGGACTGTAAGTGTACAAAATAATCTCAACTCCAAAAGTTTGGTTGGGAGAGGATTTTGGTTTGTTGGGATTTTGTGAGGATTATAGATTTTTTGAGGATTTTGAGTTTTGTGGGATAGGGTTTTTTAATGGGAATTAGGATATGTTGGAAGTAGGGACTTGTTGGAAATTGTAATTTGTTGGAAACTGGGTGTTTAGGATCAGTGCTCAAAAATATTGTAAAAATGAAAATACCCCAAAAATATAAATTTAAAGCAAAAATGGAAAATAAGAGGCCCAATGGGCCTGCAGCACTCACTTGGTATATATGTACATGTATATGTATATATATTTTTTAAAAATTGACCCCTGTGACCTAGAACATAGGTCAAGGTATTTTCGTTTCCCAAACTTTGTGCGCTTCATCATAGGAACATACCAGCCAAATTTCATGCCTCTAGGCCTATTTTTTCATGAGAATAAGTTATTTATATGTTTCATCAAATTTGAACATTATGACCTTGAATATACATCAAGGTCATTTCTTTTCACAAACCTTGTCAGTATTCATCCTAGGAACACACCAGCCAAATAACATTGCTCTAGGCATTTCAGTTCATGAAAATGTCATTTATAAAGGTTTTAACAAATTTGACCCCTATGACCTTGAATATGATTTAAGGTCATTTCTTTCCCCAAATTTGTCATCCAAGAAACATACCAGCCAAATATCAAAACATTTGGTCCATATGTTATTGAGAAGTTGTTTAAAGGAAAAAGTTGATGCCAGACGACAGATGGATGGATAACGGAAGACAGGCGATGGACGCCGCGCCAGGGCATAAGCTCAGTTGGCCCTTTCGGCCAGGTGAGCTAAAAATGAAAACAGCATTGGCATATAGAAATATATAGGTCTTGCCACACGGATGTTGGAAGTTTCCATGTTAAAGTATCCCAGTAAGTTATAGAATTAATACTAATCAAAGAAAAAGACTCCAAACTAGATCTAGGACAAAAGCAAACACAATCAATCTGTTCCAAAACAAAATGGTTTTAAAAGTAAAAACTTTCTCACAAACTCAAGCAATACTAACATGATGCATTAACACAAGTAAAATAACAGCAAGCAAATGTACATACCTGTTTTTCTTAAGGGAAAGTCATCTTCATATTTTCCTAATAAATGTGGCCCATATGGGGGGGACAGCCCTGTCTGTGGTGGTGAGCTTTGATCAGCCCTGTAAAAAAAAAGACAACACAAAGTTTTTAATAGTTTTTAGAGTGAATTCCATGAAAACTCTTTTTTTTAACCAGTTCCTACAATACTTTATTTGTCAAGCTATATGCCATGCCTGTTAATAAGCCCACCCACGTCTGTTGTTCCTCTACCATGGTCTCATTTATAAGATATCTGAGAACTCTGATCCAGAAGCCAAATTAGATTAACTTTAAATAGAGGCATCAAAGTGGATGAATGACAACAGCATTAACTATTAAATAGATATAGTGTAAGTAAAACTGAGAGCACTGACAAACAGGATCTCACTGGTGATATTGGAAAACCTGACACTGTGAAGGATTGGAACATAAATAAGTCATAGTCCGAATATAGACAAGTTTTGCTTACAATTAATTTACAATGCCCTATTTACCATACAAGCCTTTATCAACATGGTCTATGCTTTTTAAATTAGCAAAAGAAAAGCAAACCTGTTTTTTTCTTCATTATGTAAGTGTTTCAGAAAAGACAAGCAATGAAAATACACTTAAAATGCTTACTCCAGTACACAGCTGAAGAAATACAAAATTATGTTTTCTTCTTTCTCTGTTGATTTCTAGTTTTACCAGTATTTGTCTGTCCATATGACAATAAGTTGTAAATACTTTGAACATAGTTTTATTTGAAGTTGTCAAGTGTGACATTTGACCATTTAACCTTGACCAATGACCTTTGATCTGATTGTACTAAGGTATAAATATGAAGTTAATATGTTGTGGTGCAGACTTTCCTGAGTACAACATTTATATTTCTAAAGTGACCTTTAACTGCTTCTTCTCAACTGAAAACCACAAGAATTGAATCTGATATTGAGGAAAATCATCGGCTATAATTATGTAAGTATGATATATATATATATCTGCTAAGGGATTAATAAGATATAGAGTACTGAACTTTATGTATGTATGGATGGGTGAAAGGATGGATGGAGTGGAGCCCATATGTTCAATTAAACTACATCATATTAAAATACAGTCAAACCACATTGTCTTGAACTAGGTCGGATCATGGAAAAACTTTGAGATAACAAGAGTATTTGATTTAAAAGAGTATTGATGTTTTGTGTAAAGTTAGTCAAGGACCAACCAAATGCTTCAAATTAAATGGGGTCTTTAACTTACACAAGTTTGAGATATCAAGATTCAACTGTATGGTGAAAATTTTTCACTACATTTCAACACTATCTCAATATTTTGTGAACTGCAGGTGTGTGTGAGGTGATTTCCTAATATCTATATATAGACAGTAGAGCTAGTTGTCTTACCAATGACGGTACTGTGGAGGAGAGTTTCGTGCAGCTGCTTCCCTTTGTTTTTTCGTCAAGACAAATTCTTGAAGTCTCTGTTTTACTTCAGAAGAAGCTATAGCACCTACAGCAATGAAAACAACACTAAGTCACATACACTAAGTCACATACACTAAGTCACATACACTAAGTCACATACAATTCAAGAAATTTCAACATCTCTTTAATTTCTCATTGGTTTCACAATTTATACTAAAGTGATTCTGTGAGATTCAAGGTTTCAATGAAATGTGTACAAGGACTAGTTTAAATATAACACTGGAATATTTGAATGTCATTTTGTACTAATTCACTATTTACTGTTAGAAAAAATTTGCTGCAGAAAGTGGTTGATTTTCAAAACATCTTAAAATTGTTGTAAAATCTAAAGTTACTTACTTTCTTCATTCTTGTTTTTATTTTTGATCTGTTCCAATCTTTCTTTTTCTAAAAGTTCTTTTTCGAGTCTGTGTTGTTCTTCTAACTTCTTTTGCTGCTCAATAAATTCCTGTTGTTTCTGGAGTAACACCAGGTGCTAAAACAACAAAACAGCAGAAAGTCTATATTTAGAAATAAACTTTTAAACTCAATCATAATGGCAATACAATTTGTTAGATTCTGTAGAAGGAGTGATTGAACTGAACTATGGCCAGCAGCACAATGTACATCAAGCTCATATACAGACAGGAGAGGTGTGATGTTCACTCGCTACCTTAAGGCAAGGTCTTCTCATATACCAATGCATACCAATAGACCCTACTAGTACCAACACATACCAACATATACCAATGTATACCAACATATACCAATGTATACCAACAGACCCTACTGGTACCAACACATACCAACATATACCAATGTATACCAATGTATACCAACAGACCCTACTGGTACCAACATATACCAATGTATACCAACATACCCTACTGGTACCAACATATACCAATGTATACCAACAGACCCTACTGGTACCAACACATACCAACATATACCAATGTATACCAACAGACCCTAATGGTACCAACACATACCAACATATACCAATGCATACCAATAGACCCTACTGGTACCAACACATACCAACATATACCAATGTATACCAACAGACCCTATTGGTACCAACATATACCAATATATACCAATGTATACCAACAGACCCTATTGGTACCAACATATACCAATGTATACCAACAGACCCTATTGGTACCAACATATACCAATGTATACCAACATATACCAATGTATACCAACAGACCCTATTGGTACCAACATATACCAATGTAAACCAATGTATATCAACAGACCCTATTGGTACCAACATATACCAATATATACCAATGTATACCAACATATACCAACAGACCCTATTGGTACCAATATATACCAACGTATACAAATGTATACCAATGTATACCAACATATACCAACAGACCCTATTGGTACCAACATATACCAATGTATACCAACATATACCAATGTATACCAACAGACCCTATTGGTACCAACATATACCAATGTAAACCAACATATACCAATGTATACCAACAGACCCTACTGGTACCAACACATACCAACATATACCAATGTATACCAACATATACCAATGTATACCAACAGACCCTACTGGTACCAATGTATACCAATGTATACCAATGTATACCAACAGACCCTACTGGTACCAACATATACCAATGTATACCAACATACCCTACTAGTACCAATACATACCAATGTATACCAACATATACCAATGTATACCAACATATACCAATATTTACCAACAGACCCTACAAGTACCAACATATATCAATGTATACCAACATATACCAATATTTACCAACAGACCCTACTGATACCAACACATACCAATGTATACCAACATATACCAATATTTACCAACAGACCCTACAAGTACCAACATATATCAATGTATACCAACATATACCAATATTTACCAACAGACCCTACTGATACCAACACATACCAATGTATACCAACATATACCAATGTATACCAACATATACCAATATTTACCAACAGACCCTACAAGTACCAACATATATCAATGTATACCAACATATACCAATATTTACCAATAGACCCTACAAGTACCAACATATACCAATGTATACCAACATATACCAATATTTACCAACAGACCCTACAAGTACCAACATATATCAATGTATACCAACATATACCAATATTTACCAACAGACCCTACAAGTACCAACATATACCAATGTATACCAACATATACCAATGTATACCAACATATACCAATATTTACCAACAGACCCTACCAGTACCAACATATACCAATGTATACCAACATATACCAATATTTACCAATAGACCCTACTGGTACCAACACATACCAACATATTAAAATATCAACCATTAACAACAGATGACAACATGTCAACTAACCAACCACATGAAGTTTTTAATGGAAACAATATAGATTAAGCTATGATAATATCAATGTCCTTTCATCAAACTTGTACTAAACAAAAGTTCAATATATTTCTGACCGAAATTTATCTATTATTTGTCTACCTGCACATGCCAACCTTATCCATTATAAGTATTATTTTTAAATAACCAGTTGTTTGATCCCCTTAATGACATTGGAAGAAAACAAATGGATCAGCCACAAATATCTCCTGGTCATGAGGAGCCTCATCAACTACCACATTCAATTATATCAAGAACGCAGCCTTGCATCAATCCCAGCTAATGAGAGCTCCAGCTAAACATCTTCTGAAAATCAATCTTATCTTGTATTTACATCCAATCCTGATATTCTAAATGCGGCTATGTATTGCTAAAAATGGCTTCCCCGCTCAGCTCTGTACTCTTGTCAATAATAAGAGAAGAGTTGATTGACCAATGAGATTCCTCGCAATACAAGCCCACACATTTTATATTTAGCAGCTAAGTAAAGATATTGAAATCCCAGAGAAAAACACTTTGTCACTCAACTTTTCATCTACTGAAGTCAGTGTCTTATGTCTGTGTATATCAGAGTGAAGCTTTACAGAACTAAGTGTTAAGAACTAAAAACCCACTTATCCTATATATGATAATTATTAGTCTCCCTGTCAAGATATTTCTTTCACCACTCATCTTTGTAAAATCTGTCTGCATGCACCATCTTATCAAAGATGGTGGTCTTTGAACTTACGTGCTTACAAAGGTCAATGGTCAAGTGGTCTCTCTCTAAACCTCGGTGACTACAAAGGTTAAAGTTCAAATCATCTTTTAACATATAGGTGACTAAGGTCCAATATTGATGGGTTTATATAAATAGAAGAATAAAAAAAAGTCACATGAGAAGTGATCTCTAAAAATAGGTGACAACTAGGGTCAAAGGTCAAATGGTCTTTCAACACTGGTGGCTACAAAGGTCAAAGGTCAATTGATCTCTAAACACTGGTGACTGAAAAAGTCCACAGATCTCTATACATAGCTGAATATGCAAGCCAAGTGCCATATGGTCTATCAACACAGGTGTAAACAATGGCTGCTGGATGAATCAGCTAGAAAATAAGAATTAAAATATCTTTTTCCCACTTTCAAAATTAGCATCAAAACATTTTTTTGAATTTCCGTGAAACATTGGTTAAAAATTTAGTTTTTCTATCATACAAATCATGAGGCAGTGGCTTTTGACTATGAACTGGAAGTTTTGACAATAAATTGTCCTCTTCATTTTCTTGGCAACTAATTTAAGTACTATTTCATGGAATTGAAGTGTTACAATACTGCTCTCTTTTTCATGAGATCTTGATGAAAATAGTGTATAGTCATTGGAAATAAGTTGGAAAAGTCAACAGTACAGTTGGAATGACCTATTTGATTTCCAGGGAGATAGAAATTCTACACAAACAAGTCATAATATTGTGTAATTATTATACCTTTATTAATTGTCAATGTTAGTAAAACTGTTTAACTGTTTGTGTCCTACTTGTTTAAAAATCTTAACTTCTGATTTAGATGGGAAGTCTCAAAAAAAAAAACAAACAATTACTACCATTGCATATGGACACATTGTATCTGTACAAAAGAATATTGCTGACAGCCATTTACAAACAGAAAGAAAATCTGCGAGATATGCAGGCAAGAAGACAAAATACATCAAAAAGATATGCAGGAAGACACAATACATAACAAGAAAGATACACAGGAAGACAAACGCATTTGAAAGATACACAGGAAGATGTGAAGACACAAGAAAGATACACAGGAAGACAAACACATTTGAAAGATACACAGGAAGATGTGAAGACACAAGAAAGATACACAGGAAGACAAATGCATTTGAAAGATACACAGGAAGACAAACGCATTTGAAAGATACACAGGAAGATGTGAAGACACAAGAAAGATACACAGGAAGACAAATGCATTTGAAAGATACACAGGAAGACAAATGCATTTGAAAGATACACACGAAGACAAATGCATTTGAAAGATACACAGGAAGACAAACGCATTTGAAAGATACACAGGAAGATGTGAAGACACAAGAAAGATACACAGGAAGACAAATGCATTTGAAAGATACACAGGAAGACAAATGCATTTGAAAGATACACACGAAGACAAATGCATTTGAAAGATACACAGGAAGACAAATGCATTTGAAAGATACACACGAAGACAAATGCATTTGAAAGATACACAGGAAGACAAACGCATTTGAAAGATACACAGGAAGACAAACGCATTTGAAAGATACACAGGAAGATGTGAAGACACAAGAAAGATACACAGGAAGATGTGAAGACACAAGAAAGATATGATGGCACACCTGAAAGGTACATCAGAAATTCTTACATGAATGAAAACAATGAAGGGAAGTAACTGTAATTTCATCACTAGAGCGGAGCTCTGTCCTTCAGCAGCCATCACTAAACCATAAAATTTCTGCCTTCTAGTGGACTAATCAGCTCTAATCATTCATCCATTCTCCTGGGAAATCTAATCCCAATGTTGTAAATTGTTCTTAAACCTTTTAATTTTCTTTTTGAAATATTTGTTTTCAAGAAAGTTTTGCCATAATATTTGTAAACCTGTCAACAAAATGTGTTTTTCACCCAATTAATTTTTTCTCAATTTACTGAAAAACAGGCTTTAATTTTTTTGTTTTTTTGAATACTGCAACTTTCAAAACCATAACATTTTAGGCTATAAATACTTCAAACAGTAACTTATCTTGCAGTGACTCAAACCATCCTGGCGGAGTTTGAAAGCAGACCCACTAGATTGCCAATAATCGCAGTGATGTTTAGAGTTTAAAGATGAACAGTTGTCTCCACCCCCAAGGTTTCCTGGGAATTTAGAGCCTGACACTCAACTCTATTTTTAACATCAGCTGGTGATTTAAGAGCAGCACAAATCGTTCTCTGGACAGGTGATCCATTTCCAAATTGTAATGATTATTTCCATGTTACTAAATGCTGTTGTTTATCATTCGCCTGATTCGTTATGAAGCAAAAGGTCACGGAGTACACTAAAAAGTATGTCTCCTGATCATGAGCACAATAAATCTTGCCATTTTTGTTCCCTACAACCTTGATTGATTTATTTGTAGCTACAGCCTTAAACTCCTTGCAACTTTCTAAATCCAATTCAAAACTCTTTGCTCCAAATCTTGCACTACTTCATCTACATATAACCTTATTATTTGTGATGGACAGTTTTCATGGCCTGCTTTTAGAGGACCTTCTTTCAAGCATGTTGGCCTTCATAATTTAAGAAGATCTTTAATCATATACCTTTCACTACAAATCGATAGATTTGAATCTTTTGTTTATGTATCTGTATGTAAAAAGTCCTTCATTGTAGTGACACTTCACAACAGCCAAATGATAAAATATCAGCTTAACTTTGGGATACAATATATAATGTTGAACCTGAACTTCAAACTTCAACTTGGTATACATAAACTTGACTTGAAAATGACCTTAAGATACATCTATTGGACTTGACCATGACTTTACATTGTCCTGAAAACACATATACCTGACCTTGAGATATATATATATTTGACTTTGTTATACAATATTTGATCTTGACCTAGATATATTTGACCTTGTACATACCATGTTGACCTTGATGTGTTCCTGAAGCTGTTGTTCATGTTCCTGCGCTAATTGTTGCTGCTGTTGCTGGAACTGTTGTAGAAGAAGCTGTTGTTGTAGATCTTGCTGTTGTTTCAGTGACGCAATCTGTTGCTGTAACTGATGGTCAGTGAAGTAATTACTCTGTGGTGGGCGACGACTCAACACTGGGGAGGCCAGCGGAGATGGAGTGATGTCTGAAATAGTCAATTATTATCATTTCAGATAAAATTTTATTTATATAACTTTAAAAAATCTAAATTTTGAAATACCACAAGGAGTTTTACAGCCATTCCACTTTCAAAATGACTGACAACCTTTTGCAAACTCCATCTTCAAACAAACACATGCATTAGTGATAATTTCAACAAAAGGCATGACTAGGGACCAGGAAAACATTCAAAATAACAATTAAACTTATTAAACAGTCAAATTCCATGATTCATATCAACCATTTCATTTTTCCTATCAGTCTCAAATCTGAGCATGCAAAACAAGAGACCAAGTTAACTTATATCTTATCCTTGAGAATGCTACATCAAAGCCTTTTCTGAAGAAGTAAGAATAAAACTCTTAAAGCGTCTAAAACCAAGATGGCAACCTGTCAGCCATTTTCTTTTTCCAATAAGTCTCAAACTTGAACACACTTAATAAAGAACAGGGCGAGTCTGCATATAAAATCACAGTAACAAGAATTGTTAAAGGATATTTGGCAGATGTATTACTACAAACGGAGGGTGATTACAAAATCTCATGTCTTCTGTTGATGTGGTAAACTGGTAATGAACTCCTCACCATAGCTTAACTCATTTGCCCTTCAATTTTAATATGAACTGCAGCTTGAAAAAGCTTGGTCTTACTGCAAAATCATATATTGTGTGAGGGTGATTTTTGTGGTTTTTTTTTTGTTATTGCATAAATGCTTAATTTCATGGATAAAGATTAATAAAGTTAATGATAATTTCTTTAAGTTTGTGGAATTATTTCAACAGTTTGTGAACACATTCCCTACAAAATTTAATAATCTTAACAAACCTCTTCTGTCTCATTAGTCTAGTGTGATTATCTTATTCCTTACCACGTAGTGTGATTATCTTATTCCTTACCACGTAGTGTGATTATCTTATTCCTTACCACGTAGTGTGATTATCTTATTCCTTACCACGTAGTGTGATTATCTTATTCCTTACCACGTAGTGTGATTATCTTATTCCTTACCACGTAGTGTGATTATCTTATTCCTTACCACGTAGTGTGATTATCTTATTCCTTACCACATAGTGTGATTATCTTATTCCTTACCACGTAGTGTGATTATCTTATTCCTTACCACGTAGTGTGATTATCTTATGACTGTGACATGATTAATCAAGATGACAAAAGAGATCACAATCATCCATCAAACTAGTTTCTTGTCAGTTTTAGCTGTGTATGAAGAAGCTAGGTAGTTACTCAGGAAACAAAGCAGTCTGTGCTGACATGGTTGTAGCATTGGTCACAACACTTAACACTAATTGATGTGGATTTGATGTGATGCATCTCTTGTATGTTGTTCAGAGAAGTAGTCACCAGCTACTTTGAGGAAATACCACCTCAAAATGGCTCTGACTGCATGTTTACATGTTTAAAAAAAAAAAGTATAAATGAAACTGATGATGCTTTGATCCATTGATAAGCATATCTATCATTTCACTCAGATAAAACATGTCGTATGACGTCATCATTTTTTGGTGGTGAAACAAATCAAACATTCTATGGAAGACTTATTTTTCATCATTGTTTGGATAAATTGATCCCCATTCAGTCATATTTTCTAAATCAAAACAATTCCTAACGTACATTTTTATTATTTTCACTCAATGAAATATCTGGATTTAGCCTGACAATGGTATAATAGTGCCAGTGATGATTAAACTGTCTGTTTAATGACACATCACCTGATTCGATCGTTAAAAGACCTTAACACATCCTATTTTTACTCCTCTTTTCTAAATGATTGTACAGTTAGCTATAAAGTTATCAAATAGAATGACAAGACAAATACATTACATTTTAATTTATTCATTACGTCTCTCATGTTCAAAAGCATTGACAGTTTACCATATTTACATATAAATCCCAAATAAATTCAAAATCGACAAAAGTTTACATTATTTATAAGTATGTTTGTTTCAAAACAGAAACATGACAACACTTTTTCATCATTAAACAATACAACCGTGTGATGTACATGGAGAAAATTGAACACAATGATTCAACAGATTATACAGGCTTTTAACAATTCATGACCAGAGTCATAATATTTTGTAAAAAAAATATTTAATGTCAAGATACATCAAGTTTTCCCCTCCCACCAGCTAATTAAAAGCGTGAAGAAACCATATCCTGGTAGAACAATGAACCTGGTTTTCATGTTTTAAATAAAAACTTGTAGAACATGCTGGAGGAGTTTTGTCAAATTTTCTATTGTTGATGACGCACTCAAAAACAGAATAATTCATCTTGACCTGACGGCCATGCTGCCTGTGTACACATATGTTTGTTTAGTGTGTTTATCATCCCTCTGAAAAGTTTTGAGGTAAAGTCTGATCCTCGCAGTAGTTGGTGACTTCCTCACTGAACATAATGCAAGAGACCTACCACATGCTATCAACAGCAAGACTATCAAGTATAAGGCCATTGTATCTCAACTTTCTGTTCACTTTGAAAGCAATCAAACCAACTTCCTTGATCACCTTCCCCCCATCCCCATTCATACTTATAAAAGTAAAACAGCTACATCGATAGAAGTCTGGAATGATCAGGGTTTTATAAAGTTTTATACAGTTCTTTATCTATCTTTAGAAGACAATTTTTCCCTAATTCCAGTGTTAACTAGAAGAACTTGTTTCTTTTATTTCAAAATTAAACTTGATTTTGCAACAGGGGCCTTATATATACTGTTAAATGATAATAGAAATTGCATTATCAACAATTACATTTAAAATGATATTTGAAATGTAGATACAATTAGTAGGAATTTGTTTCAGACCATATGACATTTCAATGAAATTTTCGTACATCATTAAAAGTACAGTCACTCTTCTAGTGTTGACTATAGACTTGACATTTTCCTGGAATGTGTCTTCAGGACATAGATCTGTCATATCTAGAAGTGACAGTAGCTGGGTCAAACCATACTGTACTTAAGTTATCCTCGATAAACCAGATATATACATGTGCACGATGTATAGAAGTTTCTCTGTACATTGTCAAATCTACCTTATATACCAACAGCATACTACAAATAAGTGTGAATACAAACATCTGTCCACAAAGGCCACATGATATTACAAATAACATCCTTAAAAAATAACTGTCTATAAAGCCTGTCCACAACAAAACATGTCTATATAAATGTGTGTTGATAAAGGCCACTTATTTACAACAAACACCTGTCTATAAAGACCACTTTTCTCTGCTCCCTTCAGTGGCCTTTTGAGAAAGGTTGACCTATCAAAGAGACCATGCTGTCATTGTTGTGTCCTTTGGCAAATAAAACTATCATTGACCATTTTTCCTTTGAAAATCCGGACACTGAGAATTGAGATGAGCTCCATATTGTGTAAAAAATTAGTACCTACATGCAAGTACACCACAAGCAGTAGAAACTTCTAGTAATGTTTAACTATATATTCTGAAAATGATTTTCACTGGGATAGTTAGGAAATCAACCAAACAGTCGCATCAATCCAAGAAATGACTCAAATTGCTTATAATTCTCGGACCAACATTTCATGCTCTGTAAAAGTTTTGTCATATCAAATTCAATCTCAAAATAAATCTGACAGCAAGAGATGTACAAGTCCAAGCAGTGGTTTTGTCAATACTTACTCTTGCTGTGAATGCCATGCATGGGACAACCAGAGAACCTTGACTTCCTCTTATGGTAAATTTTACCACTTCGAAATCTAACCACATCCATCTCAACACAACACCAGTGCAATCACAAAAAAACTGTTGTACTTTCCATGAAAACTATCAACTGGAATCTGACAATTATAAAATTCAGTCTTATCTGTTCACAAGTGGATAGACTGTCACTTTCCATTCACATCAGAAAAAATATTTTCTAAAAAGAAACACAACAAATGAAAAAATATTCCATCCTCTGGTTATCTACAGAAAAGAGACCTATCTTTTCTTCTTGTACATTTATCAACTCCTATTGTATAGATAAAACACTGTTGCGAAACACTGATTCATCCATCATGCATAAAATGGGACTGAAATCTGATACACTTGTCATGCATCACACTCAAGTAAAGATCTCAAACAAAATAAAAAACACACATCCGAGGTAAAAACGGTTTGAAACAATAGTTGAATCCAAAACGGGAATAATTCTCCATTCGAGGATGAAATAATTTCCTGACTCAGTCTGCCCTACATATAATAAACACCCTATATAGACAATCCTCAACAGCTGAACTGAGCGTGGAGATTATTCACAGAAGTAGGTGGCAAACGTGACGTTCATGCCTAGCAGACTTATATATAAATAAGGTTTTCATCCTGGGGCTATATCCTACCTATCAGGTGTATAATACTACTTACACAAGCTCTTCCTCACTATCTGTACAGGTGCATTTATGAATAGGACTGAAAATGTCTCCATATAGTTTTACTTTATTATCAATGACCCAGTAATCAAATAAGTAACAGAACAACACTTTATAAACAAAGTTAGGTCACAATATATACACATAATGACAAATTCTCTTTTGCCATTTTCATCATGTTTTATTTCATACATCTGCATTGCTTCTGCATGCTGCTAGGCATAATACATTTTAATTGGAGAAGGAACATAAATCTGATTAGTGAAGGTCTAGCAGCTGTATAAGTAGGTACTGAAATGCAGGGAAGTATTATCTAACCTATATTGATGTGGCATGCTTTTAAGTAAAATTGATTGACTCTCAGTAACATCAAGCAAAAGATTGTGTATAGTATCAGCACTACCTTTTTCTATTTTGAAATTAACCAACCAAAGTCACATGACATCAACAAAGAAAGTGTCAACACTAGAATGTTATGATCTGTACAAATTCCCTTGACCTAATTATTCTAAATGACCATTAAACTTTACCAAATTATTCTGAAAATTTACCTGTTTCAGTAAAACTCCACCAAAATAGTTGATATCACTAACATA